TAACTTATCGAACGAAATTAACGAGCCGAACACGAGCTGTTCGCGAACAACGAGCCATTTTGACAACCCTAAACGTGTGTGTGGGGCTAGTGAGTGAGGCTTGACTAGTTTTTATATTTAAGATTTGGTTTTATAGTTTTAAGTTTAACTTTTACCAATGAGTGGTTTTTGTTTAAGTGATTAAAATTTTAGAATTTCATTTTTAATTTTGTGTATTTCTCGTTTGTTTGAGTGGACTTTTAGATTATAAAGAGCATTATCACTAGTGAGACCCGCCTAAGGGGAGGAATTATTCCATACGTGCAACGTATGGAAGTCTGCATGCGATAACCAATTAGAAAATGTCACGTGAAATCCGACCCCACTATTGCAAAATATGTTAAAAACTCTTATATTACGCCCGACCCGGCCTGAATCCCGCCGAAGCACAAAAATACACTTTTGCATTTTCGCTTCCCGCAAATTGGAAAAAAAGTTGTATTTTATCTCCTTTAGGTATAGGGATTCAGGATATTCTCATTTCGTTGTCTTTCTAGGATCCATTCGTATTCGGTGAACCTGGTTCAATAGAAGTATTTCTTGACGAGGAAATGTTGCTGGAAACTCAAAATGCTTGCGAGAAACATGACAATGATTTGGAATCTCAAAATACTTTCGAGAATCATGAGAATGAGCTGAGTTTAGATGCGACAGAAGGAATTTGGCAGGTAGGTTATACTTGTTTGACTGTAGATTTAGGTTTAAGGAATATTTGTTTTGTTAATGAAGTTTGCTCTGTTTTTATCTGACGTGTAACACTAAATTTCGGTTAGTGTGGGATGTGTTGTTTAGGTAATAACACGGTGTTATACTGGTTGCTTTTGGAGTTGTATTCCATTTCTGATTGTTCTTCATAGTTTTAGTGGGTTAAATAACTATTATAATGAAGTGTTGTTCTCGTCGTCGTGATGGGGTTAATGGGTAGCTATTCTCGTCGCCGTAACAGTGTCAAAGTGTTACAGTATCATTTGCTTGTAATGTTACTGTCGTGGGGATTTGGTGTTATTTTGGTAGGTAATATCATTGTTATTTTGGTAATATCATAGTGTTATTAAGATAATATTGGATCTGCTGACTTGGTTTTGTTTTGATGTATTATGTTGACGTTTAATGGTGGTGTACTTGTGTTATTGTGGTGTTATGTGGGTGTTGGGAGTCTTTTGCCTGTAAGGGTGTTTTTTGCCTGTAAGATCTCCTATATGGTGGGGTGGTAATGTGGTGTTATTTTGGTATTATCATGGTGTTATCCTAGTGTTATTTGATCTAATTAGACGTTTTATCAAAGTTTTATATTACCGTTCTAATTGTGTTATCAGGGCGTTATTGTGATTTTATTACGGTGTTACGTGTCTATTATAGGCTTTTAACGATGATGTTAGTAACATTTCTTAACGGGATTTGATTGGCCTGTTATATTAACATTGCAATGGTGTTATTTGGATTATATTATGGTAATATGATCGTGTGATTTATGTATTGTAGCATTGTATTAATCTCTATTTGGGGTGCTAATGCTGATGTTTAAATTTGCAGTCCCTGAGACAGAGAAATTGCTTCATGTAGTTGTCCACAATGAAAAAAAAGCCTATGAGCAATATTGTGTATATGCACACCATATTGGATTTACTGTGCGAAAGGACCACAGTAGTTTTTGACCGAATTCAAAGAAGATTAAGACAAAGGACTTTGTTTGGGGTAAAACTGGTTTCAAGAAAGAGTTGAATGACACTATCACGACGAGGTTCAAAAGAGTAGACACGAGGATTGATTGTCTAGTCATGATCTGATATGTCGTTGATTTAGAAGGCAACTGGTCGGTTAAGAAATTCATAGGAAGTCATAACCATCCCTTGGCGGAGGACGGTGACAAACATCTATTGCGTTCCAGTAGAAAGATACGTGACATCAGTGTTGATATCCTCAAATCAATGACAAAATCAGAGATTAGAACCAACGATGCATTCAGATTCCTCTATACTGAGGTCGGAGGACTGGAGAATCTTGATTGCATGAAGAGAAATGCGTATAATTTCATACAAAGAGAGAGAAGAGTTCAAATGGAACTAGAGGATGCTAATTATCTCATACAATTGTTCACTACGCGGTAAGCGGATGATCCAATGTTTGCGTGGGACTTCCAAATTGACGAGTCGGGTCATTTGGTGAATTTTTTATGGTGCGATGAGATGTTCAAGATTGATTACGACTGCTTTGGGGATGTAATAATATTTGATACAAGTTATAGACTGAATAAATACAATTTATGTTGTGTTCCAATTGTTGGTGTGAATCACTATTGACAGAATGTTCTCTTTGGTGTTGGTTTTTTGTCAGATGAAACAATTGAATCATTCAAGTGGTTATTCAAAGTCTTTATTCGTATAATGGATAACAAGTATCAGTATCCAATGACAATATTCACTAACCATGATGAAATAATGTCTAAAGTCATTAAAGAGTGTCTTCCACGCACCAGACATAGATTATGTCAATGATACATTTACAAAAAATTATCTTCAAAAGTTCATTGTGGCGTGGGTAGCAAGAGAGTCAATGATCTTTTTTATAAATGCTTGAGCTGATGTGACTTAGAAGAGGAGTTCAAAGAAACTTGGGATGAAATGATCGAAAAATGAAACCTACACGAGAATATTTGGTTGGATGAATTGTATAATATCAGACATAAGTGGTCAACCGTCTTTAATAAAGAAATTTTTGGAATGGGGATCTTATCAACGCAAGAAGTGAGTCCACTAATAAGATTTGTCATGGTGTCTCCAAGGCAACAAGCACCCTCACCGAATGTTTTTTTGGGTCTTGAAAACGTTATGAAATCTTGGAGAAGAAATGAAAATGATGAAGATTTTAAATGTCAGTAGTTTGCAATTTCTCCTATTGTAAAAAGTAGTCACGTGTTGAGACAGGTTGCTTTACTTTATACAAAGAAGTTATATTCAATGTTTGAAGCACAGTTTCTACATGGTTTGTGTGAGATTGTCGTGGAGTGCTCCGCTAATATGGATTCAAAATTTCATATTCGAACTATCGATAATAAGGACAGAGCCAGACCCTAGATTGTTAAACTAGATAGGTAATTCTGATATCACCTGTAGTTGTAAAAAATTTGAAATTATAAGTTTATTATGTGCTCACGCTTTAAGGGTTCTTCAGCACAAAAATGTATCAAAAATTTCTGATAAATATATATTA